ATTATATTATATTATAAATTCAGATAATCATTTTGACCCTAAAAGACCTTGAACCACTAATCTAGGCAATATTGCAAATTTGCAAGAATTACTTACATAATGACATTTTTATCTTGTGGTTTGAAGTTAATATATTCATTGCACGTAGTTTGCATGAGAATCAAATAAGTCTGGTCACTATTTCTAATGACAAATGCAACAAATAAATATTAATTATCGGTGAAAGTGGTTGAGTTGAGTCAGTCTCCAGAGTTTTAGTGACTTGTATGCTCATCTGACTGCAAACTAAGCAGATTTTCTCTATTATACCAGTAGCAATTAAAAAGGCACTTCAACAGACACTGTTATTGGTCCCGATTCAATTAGGACATTTTATTATTGTATTGCAAAGCATGGCTCCTCTTTACAAATTTTCTTGCATTTTTTTCTTTTTGGTCTGTACCTAACTGACCCTTCAACTCTATTTTTAGCCAGGAGATGGACTTTGCTTCCATAAAACAAAAAAATACAAATTTTATGGATAAGAACCGGTTGTTCTACACTTACTTTACATCACCTTAATATCCGAGCCACCGCACGCACAATGGTTCTGCTCAACTTCTGCATGACATTTTCTTTTGCTTTTAAGCATCAGTTTCATAGCAGACAGGCTTATGAGAACAAACATGATCAAATGAATCCGTCATGTGTACATTACTTACATGTGACCCTCTCTCTACTTAAAAGTGTTGCAAAACACAAACATGTTTTCCCTGAACTTCCCATGACTCAAGGGCTCAGGTTTGATCCTATTTTGGCTAACTTTGTTTATCATGCTTATCAATCTATTACACTAGACCCATTGTCCATCTTTTGGGTCAAATGTATATTTTCAGCAAACTATGTAACTACTACACCCAAATATAACCAGGCTATTTTGTATTTTATGTCAAATCTACTTATTGTCATCATGACACCATAAAAATATGAGACTACTATTTTGGGATTACTACTGTTTTTATTTGGACTTACTCCTTTGCAACTGATAGAAACTGAACATGTGCTAGTTTTTGCTCATCTCCTTGCTGAGGCTGTCGTGGCAGCAGTGATGTTTACTAGCAGTGTGCAGCTTTTTCATTCACACTTGGTCTGTTTCAGTACTCTTCGTCTTTTTGCATCTACCAGTGTCATCAAATGTGTCCACTATTTTCCCATAACACGCTCATAGCATGTTTAAATATTGTGTCCTCCTGTTTTTATTATACTCACACTCAGTGACATGGGCCCTTGTTTTCTTTGATCAAATGGCCATTTGTGTTCCCCTGCACTCATCCTGCAAAAAGCACACTCACCACACCTTAATGAAGGTTGACCTTTCTCCTTGAACTTGTAGTGAGCTATTATGACTGTGGAGTTTCTGTCTGCTTCACCAAAGAACACTGGGACTTCCTACTCTTTTAGAGAGACTTGTTATTAAATCTTATTAAAGTGTTTTGTATCATAAACGTGATCATTCTCAAAGAAATAAACATTTGTGGGCATGTGCACTTTATAAGTCTTTACTTTTCTGTTGTGAGTTAGAAATTCTCAAGTAAATCAAAGCTATATTCAGAGTTTTGTCCCTTGTTAGTGGCCCTCGCAAGTAGCAGGTAGTTAATCTGTAAGTGCAGAGTGCTCCCTTTACTCCGCAGGAAGGAAGGAAAACTGGCTTATCAGAAACCTGACCAAATATGGAGGGGTGAAACTACCAAGTGTATGAAGTAATGCAAGATATGAATTGAAGGTGGAGCCAATGTACTTTTTACAACCATTAATTCATATTTATTTTTTTGCTACATGAATCTGCATCAGGCAGGAAATGCAAAATATAAAACTTTTATTTCAAGCAAGAGTTCCTTTACAGTGTGGGCTCTAATAAAGACTGAGAGAAAGCTACTGTGAATGGGGCATTAGTTTTGGTAGAACTCAGTAGACTAGGGGTGATTGAAATATTAATGAAAGGCTATGACATCAGCAGGCACTTCATGTTGCAGAGTGAGTCAGGGTCACAGGGCAAAATTAGGCAACGATGAGAGGGACATTTTTTAAAAATGAAAACACACAACCTAACTTGTGATGAAACATGTACACAAATATGTAAACCATCCATTGTAACAACACACCTGGACCTGGCAGGAATGTTCCTGTATGTGTACGCGTACCCGTGCGTGAGTGTTTCCGTTTGGTGTCTGAAGCATGAATATTTCTCTCCTGCTACACAAACATCTTCATCTACAGTTACAAACTGAGTTGTGGAAGTGACCCGACTGGTCTGACTGCACACAGTGTAAATACTGCAGCTCTGAACACTGGCTGCTCTTGGGCAAATGGCCTACAGCAAGTTAAACTTTTTTGGTGATAAGAAAGAGCAAGCATGGAGCAATGTATGAAATTACTTTGAAACTCTGCTTGAGTTCAGAGTGTCTCTGTTTGTTTATTGGGTGGTCCCTTAAATTCCTACAGTACCTTAGGCTGCATTTATGTTTGTCGGACTATAACCGGTTTAAGACAATGGCGATTCTGTCTGACAACAATAGGTGGAAATACAGCTGCCGAGAAGTGTGTGCGCAATTCGTCCACAGATGAGCCACATGAGGAATTTGAGAATAAAGGAAACTCTGAGGATAATGGAAGCTTTTCTAGCTACATTAATCGTCACTTCTTTTTGTGCTTTTTACATTTCATTCATTCTCTTTCTCTTTTGCTCTGTTCTCTCTCTGTCTGCCTCTCTCTCTCTCTCTCTCTCCCTCACTCTCTATCCTCTGCTGTCAGCCCGCCCTCTCTCTCCCTCTCCCTCCTTGCTCAACCTGCTTATCTGAACTGGGCAGGGCTCGATATACTCACAGCACAGGGGGAGGGCCTTGTCTGCTTTCAATCAATAACCTCTGGAATTCAGAAATACAAGTAGGTCCTGTCTCTGGCAAGCTGTACCACACTCTTGAGGGCGGGCTCCCAGGCACACTCGACGGAATCTCTATCTGCTCTTGGCACTCTGTCTTTTTTCCACAGGTCTGACTGTGTTTTGAGCCCATCACAATGGCTGATCACACTTCTCCAGATTACTTCAGCTGCTCCCTGTGTCTGAACCTTCTGAGGGACCCTGTGGCTATCCCCTGTGGCCACAGTTTCTGTATGGACTGCATCAGTGGCTACTGGAATGAGGCTGACTACACAGGGATTTACATTTGCCCCCAGTGTAAGATCACATTCACCCAGAGGCCTGTACTGCGGCCCAACGCTACTCTGAGCATGGTGGCTGAGAAGATCAAGAAGAGTGGTTTGACCCTCAACCTCAACACGTCCCAGGGGAACCTCTACGCCGGGCAGAGTGACGTCCCCTGTGACTTCTGCTCTGGAAAGAAATTAAAGGCTGTGAAGTCCTGTCTCAACTGTCTGGCGTCCTACTGCGAGAAGCACCTGAAGCCACACTATGAATCAGCCACATTCAAAAGGCACAAGCTTGTGGACGAGCTGGGAAACCTGGACAGGAAGATCTGTCCACAGCACCAGAAGTCCCTGGAGCTCTTCTGTCGAACAGACCAGATGTGTATCTGTGCTATCTGCACAGTCAGTGAACACAGGGGCCATGACATTGTCTCTGCTGAGGCAGAAAGGGGTGAGAAGCAGGTAAGAAATCCTCCTGCCTCTGTTTGTTTTATAGACTAAATTCTCAATGGCACAGGAATAGTACTGTT